TAAGAGTTGTATGAGCCCCTAATAAAACGATTTAAAAAAAAAGAAAAGAAAGAAAACATCCCAGCCTAGTCCAATTCAAGTTCCTAAGTCTGATTACTAGTCCATAAATCCCTCTTCAGACTCACGCAGTCACAAGCAAAGATGCAGAATGAAGGATAACCACAAAGTGGTGGGTACAAAGTTTTCTGGATCCAATAGCAGTAGACACATCTCCAGGGCTCTGGCAGCAACCAGAGTCAGCTAGCAGGAAGATGAAGGCAGAGAGAGAGGGGGAGGTTCCCAGGACCCTCTTATGAGAAGACCACGCCCACAAAGAGTCACCATCAGGCTGTGACCTAATTGACAGGCTAAATTCCACCCTGATACTTTTATATTTCTTCAAGTTGACATGCACTTATGTAACTATCATAGGCAGTATCTGACTTAGTTCACTCAGCATCCTCTTTATGGCTCATCCATGTTATGTCATGAACCAGAACTTCATTGCTAGGTATAGCTTTTTAATATTGTATGGGACAATATATTCAATAAGGTCTAATCCTATTGTTGGTGAAGATGTAAAGACATTAGAACCCTTATCCATTGCACATGTGGATTTGAAATGGAAAGCTGCTGTGGAAAGTAGTATGATGATTCCTCAAAAAATTGAAAATAGAACCACCTTGTTGCTAGGAGCCATTGAGTCAGTTCCACCTCATAGCAGTGCTATGAAAAGTGTGAGAGAAGGACTCACTGCTCAGAATGGCATCGTCTTCACAGTGACGGAGTGCTGGAGCCCACTGCTGTAGCCACTACGTCATCAATTCATCTCATTAAGGCTCTTCTTTTTGGCTGACCCTCGACTTTACCAAGCATGATGTCATTCTCCAGGGATGGGTCCAGAAATTCCACTCCTGTTGGTGAACTGTCTGCTCACATCTTTTGTCCAAAATTGCAAAATTAACTATTTTTGTGCATCAGAAGACTTTATTAGGTAAATGTAAAGACAGCCTATAGAATAGTGGAAAATATTTGGTGACTGCCTATCTGGTCAGTACTTAATATCTACAGTATATAAACAACTCCTAAATCTTACCAGGAAAAGACAAACAATCTAATTTAAAAAGTGGCAAGAGACATCAGTGGACACTTCTCCAAGGAAACAGATGAATGATCAATAAACACATAAAAAGATGCTCGATATCATTAATTATTAAGACTTATGCAACATAATTAATATATAAGACTTGCATAATAATTATTATGCAAGAAAGAAAGAAAGTGAAAATCAAAACCACAAAGCCACTGCCACTAGAATGACTACTGTCAGACAGACAGACAGTCGCAAAGCTGGCAGATTGTGGAGGAATGAAAACTGCGTTGCTGGTGGGGATGTAACATCAACTAGGATAAAAGTCGGGTCGTTCTTCAGAAAGGTAAACATGGAATTACCATATGACCCCACAAGTCTACTTTCTGGATTGTACACAGCAGTTAATTGTTGGCAACAACACAAGTGCCCATCATTAGATGAACAGAGAAATAAAATGTGGCATATCCATACAATGCAATATTTTACTCAATATCAGAGAAATAATGTCGTAATAGATGTTACAAACCTTAAAAATGTTATACTGTGTGAAATAGGCAGACATGAAAGAATTAATATTGTATGACATCATTTCTAGGAGATATCTAGAATAGGTAAGTTCATAGTTTATTAGTGATTCCCAAAGGCTGAAGGGAAGAAGGAATGAGACTGACCGCTAAAGGGTATTGATCTTTTATTTTTAATCATTTTATTGGGGGCTCGTACAGCTCTTATCACAATCTGTATTGAGCTTTTCATTGGGGTAGCAGAAAACTTGTGGAAACAGGTAGTGGTGAGGATAGACAGCTAACATACAGGATGTAACAAAGGTCATTAACTTGTACAGTGAAAAATTCCATAAACTTTTGTCATGAATTTTGCATCAACAGAATGAAATGAACAAATACATAGACTTGTATTCCTTAAGGATAGTTTTAAAAAGGACTAATCATTTCATTTCCTTAAGGTTATCTTGGGTGAGAAAGAGCTCAGGGATCAAGCTATATCTTTCTGGCAATCCAGTACACATAGGAAAGGCTTTTAAAAGTTCATGGAAAAGTGGAATTAAAAGATAATAGAAGTTTTCCATGAGCTTTGAAGTCCCCTCAGGTTCAAGTATCTGATTTTGGCTGAATTGTTCTTCTTACCCAATTCATGTAGAGCTTCATTCCCATCCATTTCCAGGTCATTTTCAGATAAATCAATAATTTTCAGTTTCATCAAATTATGAAGATTCTGACCTGAAAGAAAAATTTAATCAAACTTAAAACTTTTAGGGAACTATGTAAGCATTACAAATAAAACCAAAACACTAGAAGAATTCTGAACTCTTGTCTTCCGTCCTGATGATAAAGCAACCCGTAATGTTTATTTTACCTATATAAAAGTTTTCCCAAAAAAACAAAAAAATTAAAAAAAAAAAAAAAGTTTTCCCATAAATGCTCGGATGGGTTTAACTCCGAACTCCCCTGGTTATGACTAATGGTAAAGTATTTCACAAACATGATGAGGTCAAACATAGGGAAAACTAGCTGCATGTGAACATTGATTATAAGCGCATCATTCTAAATAAACACCGCATAATTACTTTCTTCACTTTAGCTATTTATCATGGTACTTTAATCTGACTGGAGCTTTTCCGTTTTAGGACTAATTAAAAAAAAGTTTAATTACATATTTCCATGTTTATATAGTCTTATTACAATATTATCAATTATTATTTTTAATTATGTGTGTTCTTAGAGTAAAATGTCTGCTGGTATTTGGCATTCTAAAATAAAAAGAACTAACTAATTAATTAAATAAATAAAAGAACACATTTCGGAATGCTCTTTTAAAGATTGTCTTTAGTACTTTCGTATTTACTTTTTGACTCTCCAGAGGCAAACAGAAGTCAGGGAACGTGCTTATAGTCCTCAGCTCCCAGTGTTTGTCCCGCTTTTTCTAATCGTGGTTTCCCTAGTTTCTAAGTCAGCGTCCACATGGTTTCTTTAATAAGTTTTCCAGATGCCCAGAAGTTCCCCGCCCCCACTGCCATCAGTTTTACAATCTAATTGTTAAATGGTCAAGCCATCGTTTTCTAAAACATGCTTTCAAAAACATGCCTGCAATGAAACTACACAAGTTCAAAAGCAGAAAAATGTAAAGGTTTGGGTTTTTTTAGAGTTGGCTCCAACGCCCTTGGGGGATCCAAGGCATTGACGATCGTATTTGTGCACATTAACTCCGGGCCGACAGTGTTGTGCGTAGGCAAAGGAAGGACTGAGAGCTTGTTAGGAAAGCTGTCTCTCGGCTTTCCAGCCAGGCATTTATCCATTCATCCAAATAGCTATTAGGCAATAATTATACATGCAGAAGCTGAACAATAAATAAAGGCCAAAGAAGAATGGATTCCTTTGAGCCATGGGGTTGGCAAAGAGTGGCTCATATGCCACGGGACCCCAGCAGGCCCTCAAGGAGCTGGCTTGGCACAGTGGCTACAATAGGCTCAAACATCGGAATAATTGTGAGGCTGGCGCAGGACTGGGCAGTGTTTCGTTCTGTTACGCGTAGGGTGAGTATAGTGGCCCCTAATACCAACAATAGACCAGAAGAGTGAGCCGATCTGATTCGGAAGAAGTACAGTGAGAAGGCCCCTTCGCAATGAGGATGGTGGAACTTCCTCTCATGTGTTTTGGACACATTATCTGGAGACACCAGTCCCTGGAAAAGGAGGTAGCGGGTGACGGGTGGCAGAGGGCCAGTGAACCAAGAGGGTGACTCTCAACAGGTGGATGGGCACAGTGTCTGCAGCCATGGGCGCAAACAAGAGTAGTTGTGAGGATGGCCCGGGGCCCGGCAGTGCTTCATTCTCTTGGAAGGAGGGCTGTCCTGAGTTCGAACCGACTCGGCAGTGCCTACCCACAGTCCTAAGACCGAAGGTGTGACAAGTCTCAAGCACCTACTTAATGCTTTCTTTTCTCTTAAAGTTAGAACATCTTTGATTGTTCTGAAATGCTGCGATGCATCTGTAATAGAATTGGAATTCAAATAAAGGCTCGTAGAGAAAAATCATTAACTAACACACTGAATAGTCCCTGGAAGACTTCATTATCTTTTCCAAGTTTCCTTTAAGTTAAATTTCCCTTTGAGCGATTCCTAGCCTCGAAGTGGGCATAAGTAGAAAGGAACTACATGTGCTGTGCTACTATTTCCGATCCGTTGAGTCAGACGACAGTTACCTAGGGTTTTTAGGGCGTTCGCAGACAGGCAGCAGGAGACTAATTGGATTTCTTCAAGGTCACGGGGTTTGGTGGACAGAGACCGCACTATGTGATCCATCCCCTCTCCAATGTCAGACAAGTGGGTCAAGCGGAGTAAACGTAACTTCTTCAGGTTCGTCAGACCGTCAGCTACAAACAAAGGGAAAGGGAAAGCCTATTGATACCGAGTTAATTTGCTTTAAAGGGAGACAAGCGGGCTGACAAAAAGCAAAGAACCCCGCGTGGGAACTTTCCCAGGCCCATTTGGTCGTGACCTCCATTGATAAAGAACGAAAGGGAGTTGCTGTTCTTTTAACTGTCACTTTCCGGGACCACACAGAGGTCACTTACGTTGATTGCTTTCAAAGTAGCAGGCGAAAAGCGACAGCCAATGGGCAGTATTTTAATGGACATTGAGATGTACACTTAACCAGACTCTTTATAGAATGAAGTCCTTTGGAAATACTCTTTCTTTCAACTCCCTCAACAATCTTAGAAAGGGTTGGGGACTAGTCCAGAGGGACAGTATGGGGACTTTGGGGTGTGGGTGTGCTACCCCTAACCTCAACAGAACTCCACCCGGGACCTTAAGGAATGGGTGTGCTTAATGCTTTACCATTGGGAAGATCACTCGCCACGCAGTAGATTTATGTTTTATCAGTAGTACAATGGGAAATATTACAAAATGTTCCTCGGCCTTAATTTTTAATGTCACGTTTAGGGTTCATCAGGCATAGCTCTGTGTTATTAGAATGTTTCTGTTGATGATCTGCTAGTCTATTGTTGTTAGGGGCTTTAGCGTCAATTCTCACGCAACAGCAATACTCTGTTAAAGAGTACAACTGACCCGTAGGGTGTTTTAGGCTGTAATTTAATGGAAGCAGATCACCCAGTGTTTCTTCCATGAACTACTGGGTGCAATCCAGCTGAGCGCTTAATGACCAAAAGCCCTTCTAGCCTATAAGAAATATTATGTCTTAAACATTAATCTTGCAATTTATATATAATATGCTGAGCTTGGTGCCTCACTCATAATAAACTCTCAGCCACTAACTGGTTGTCATGGGAGTACAAATAGCTTATAGGTTGGAAACATGAATTTGTAATAAATTTGGTTCCTAGACCCCCTAGTTAATAATTGTGTAGACTTGGCAAGTCATTCAACCTTTATATTGTGGCCTTGGAAGCAGTTATAGCTCTGCTTATGACTACTGTGAGGATTCAAGAAGAGGAAATGTGTGAAAGTACCTGGAGTCGTGTCTGACCTTTGCACAGTAACTCTATAATATATCTAATTCTGTAATTAATGTCAAATAGTATTACTACAATTAACTTGATTTATCAAGCTCAGATTTTGATTCCTTAATAAACCAAACTCACTGCCATCAGTGGCTCATGGCTGACTCAGTCACCACCTCTGGGTTTCCGAGACTGTAGCTGTTGACAAAGTAGAAAGCCCAGTCTTTCGCTCTCAGAGCTGCCAGTGGTTTTGAACTCCTGACCATTTGGATTGCTACCAATGCACAACCACTGACACAACAGGGCTCCCTGTGGCTCCTAATAGCAGGTTGTTTGGAGACAAGTCCTAGCAGGTAGGACTTTAGCTCATTCAATAAACCTTTCTTGGTCCCAGTAGAAGCTGCAAAATAAATGAGTTGAACTGGATGGGCTCAGGCTCTTCCCAGTTTGATATTCTGAAACACTCATAGACATGCAGGAAGTGTTGACTAAACAACCCATTCATTCAATTGTCCTCCTATAGTTTCTATAAACAGCAGCAACAACAAAAAGGAGTTCGTCAGGTTTTAATTATGGGATATGTTTGCCTTTGGGCAAGACGCAGAAGGAAAAAGAACAAGTCTGAGGGAAGAGAAGGATTTTTACGAGGGTTCAAGCAAGGATAACAGAAACAAACCCCCCAAATGTAGGAACTTGGAAACAAAACAGCTTCAACAAGAATCAACCTGTCTTAAGATCCTGGGTTGCTCTGGTGAGCTTTATCTTCTGCTAGGTTTGCAAAACTTTCTTTTTCTTTTTTTCCAAAACGTTCTTAATCTTCATTCTTTCTTGAGTCTCACTCCAATCAGGAAGTTTAACTTAATTGTGAAATCATGGTATAAACTGCTCTATACAGTTTCTATGTTTTAAATACAAACATGAACAATTGGTCAAGGAGATGGAAATTTAAAAAGCCCTGTCCCCAAGGATGCCACAACCTACTACAATTTACATAAAATAAGGGTAAAGGAGTGGAATTGGAGTGGGCAAAAGTGTCTCAGGAGGCTCATGTGGTGACAAGGACATAAAACTCCCTTGCCATGTGCCCACACAGCCACTGCGAAAGACTTTTAAACTGGCTAGTTTATAATCAAAATAAAGATGAGCAAAAGCAAACATCTCACCTAATTTTTTTGCATCTTCCTCATTCATCTTAATGTTGTCCAGTATGAGCTTCATAATGTTCTTTAAATTACCCAAGCTGTCAGTCAAACCACCTGCCAGAAGGGAAAAAAGTTTGGACTGTGCTTAATTGTTACTTAGTAAATGTCAATTACAAATGAAAAGGTTGGTTATCATCATGAGTAAGACATGCTGCAAAGTTTACTCAAAAATGTATTTTGAATCCCACCACACTGAGGCAAAACACGAAGGGCGTGTAACACAACAGCAAGGGAAGCAGAGCAATGAAATCCCTGGGGAATACCAAAAAATAGACTTTGGGGCCAGGGCGTGGCACCCCACCAGACTCGACCAGAAAATACTCCTAAAGGTCAACAAACAGACCTTGAACTATTTACAGGCTTTTCTCTTTTTTGTCATTGTTTTTGTTGTTCTTATTGTTGTTTTCTTTTGTTGCTTTGTTTTGCTCTGTCTTGTTTTTGTGCATATTATTATCTCTGCAGGTCTATCTAGATAAAATAGGCTAGATAAACAATCTGGAGGAGGAAAAAAACGGGACCTACGGATCCAGAGGGACATGGGAGAGGGGGAGGCGGGAGAAAGAAAGTGGGTGTTAACAAACCCAGGGACAAGGGAACAACAAGTGATACAAAATCAGTGGTGAGGAGGGTATGGGAGGCATGGTAAGGCTTGATCAAGGGCAATGTAACCGAGAGGAATTACTGAAACTGAAATGAAGGCTGAACATGATAGTGGGACAAGAGGAAAGTAACAGAAAATAGAGGAAAGAACTAGGAGGCCAAGGGCATTTATAGAGGTCTAAATATAGGCATGTACATATGTAAATATATTTATATATGAGGATGGAGAAATATATCTATGTGCATATATTTATAGGTTTAGTATTAAGGTAGCAGATGGACATTGGGCCTCCACTCAAGTACTCCCTCAATGCAAGAACACTTTG